AAATACCAATACATTTTGTAATAATAATATAAAATTTTTAAATTATAAAAAGTAGTATTTATTCTTTCCACTTGCTTTTCCAATAAACATTGGTCCAACTTAGGCAACTGTATATATTTTTGAAAGTATAAAACATAATAAATTTTATAATATTAAACAAATATATCAGCCGGTCCAAATTAGGTAACTTTATTTGTTCTAAACTATTAATAGACAAATAGGCAACAATCTGCAAACAATTAATATAATTTAACTATTTAAAGTAGTATCTTTAATGCATAGTTGTAGACTGTCAACATGTAAATTAAAGCACTTTAAATACATTTATACATAAATATGACCTTCCAAACAAATACAATGATGATCTTTAACTTAACTCTTGCATCTCAAAGTGGGACACGCATTGTATCACCTTTTGTATATGCCCAGTGGGGCATTACTATAATTTTCTAGAAAATACCCAGGAATTACCCTTTAATTTGGTTTGTATGTCAAGGCATGAATTTTGATAGATGTTGATTCAGTTGACGAAGTTGTATGATTCAGTTGTCTAGATATGGCCATTCAAAGAGATAAACTATTGGAGAAAACTGACTTCAAATCCGATAATGCAATAAAGATTGAGGGCATTTCGGTAATGCAATATTTAGGTAAGGAAAACTTTGCCTGGATGAAGTAAATATAAAGGGAGGGAAAAAGAGAAGTAGTAGTAAAAAAAATCTGGTCAGCTCAGCGGGTTTTAAATATTGGTCCGCTACTTGTCCTTGTCCGACGACGCCGGTGCTGCTGGCGGTTTCTGGATTGCAGCACAGAGAGAGGGTGAACCGGGGAGGATACGTTTCTTAATGCCTTTTAATAAAAGCCCCGAAGGAAGGAAGACCCGAGAGTCAAGAGTGTCCGGAATTGCTCCGGAGGCGCTGCGGGTCTTGAGATTTCTCCGGCCTCAGCACATTTTTTTTTCTATAAAGTCCTGCACCGAACGAACATCTTGCACACACACACACATACAACCCTCCGTTTCGCGCCTCCTCTATAAAGTGGGATGCAGAAAATAAATGAAAAGAAAAAGAAAAAAAGGTGAATAAAAAAGAAACAAACACTTACACCTACACTAACGCAGTCATGCATACAGACTCGCATACATTGACGAAAGGAGGGGAAGAAATATTATTAATAAAACAACGCCCCTCCGGCATATTAATTAATCTGCACTTAATTAATTCACGCGATAAGATTTTGTTACGCAATAAAATATAAAGGAGGAAGGACTTATGAGCGAAGGAGGAAATTCTTTTTTTTTTTGTAATATTTTTATTATTACCGCATTGTGTGTGTGTGCTCTATATATTAGTCCTGATTTAATTTTTCGTCCCCTTATTATTATTTTCATTCATTCATTCACTCGTGTGTCGCGGCACCCTCTTACTTTTTCGTACATATTTTGATGATGATAATAGTAATAATAATAATAGCAAGAAGAACAACAACATTTTCTGTAGTCGGCACGCGAAAAAATCATTGCGACGCCCATCTCCCTACGCCACTGGAACTCGTTAAGCAAATTGCCTATTAACGAGCCCATACATGATTCGAAATGGAAATTGAAATATTGCACACACATAACATATACGAATGTACATGCATACACACGTAAATGTATACACACGTAGGCCGCTCGTCGTTTGTTTGCAAATCCCGATTTTTATCATCCCGGAAAAAGTCTATGAATAAAAAAAACAGTATATGTATATACATACATCAGCAATGGTTAAACAAAAAGCAGCATTATTCGCTTAACTAATTGCGATCGATCTGTTTCCATTAAAAGTTTAATTACAGATAACTTAATGCGCTGCGCGTTAAATTTCTACCCAAATTGTATTATACAATCAGTGAAAAGGCGAGTGTACGTTCGTATGAACGTCCAATACGTTCGTAGACAAGTATTTACCAGAAACATATTATTCTCTTAACATAGGGCCTTTTTTCATTATACACGCATGGGCATAATGCACGTTTGGGCGAACTGAGACATAACTGATCTATTAACATATATTCGCTTACAGTACGACAAATATACATTATGTTCGTATGAACGTCTAATACGTTCTTACGTACGAAAACATGGTAAAATGTTCCATTTATATGATAATTAAGCTTTATGTTTGTATGAACGTCGAGTACGTCCATGCGAACATAGACACGTGTTCATACATTCACTTAGCGTACAAAATTTATTTACGCATTATGTTCATATCAATGTCAAATACGTTTGAACGAACGTAGCAGGTATGTCCGAAAAATTACAAAAGTTTGCATTTATTTGGGATTTAACCGTTCTATTATCGCTTAGTGTACGGTAACATATTTACGCATTATGTTTGTAGTATAAGAATAGTAGAAGTTTGCATTTTACATGGGAATTAACCATTTTATTAAGATACATTGAGTTAGCGTAAGGAAATTTATTCACGTACATAACCGTTAACTGTTAACTGTATATAATATTTCGGGAAACTACATCATTAATGGCCATATTTGGTGAAATTAATTAAAAAATAGCAGTTTTTTTTAGCACAATATCAATGAAGTTTTAATTAGGTATTTATAATTAGTTAACATTACATATGAAAATCAAGTGTCAATTATTTAGTACCATCTTTTATACCCCGAAGTTAATTATTTCTTGATTGAATCTTTTACTTGGACTTATAAATGTTTCAAATGAGTACAAATTAAAGTATATTTCGTCAATAGTAGATACCTTAAAAGAAATAATAAATCTTTTACCTCCATTACTCTTGTCCGTTTTCTTTTTAAAATCACATCACTGACATTCATACTTCCCCAATTTTTTTTAAAAACTAAATTCACAGTCATAGTCGACATTGGAATAATTGATTTTTTGGATTTTTCATTGGAATAATTTAAACTGTTATAGACATTTCACATTTTCAATTTGTACAAACAACATTTTTTATTACGTTATAGTAATTATAAAAAAAAGATTTTCCTTAGAATTTGTCCTCTACAAGGTGGTAAATGTGTTTGCAGTAGTTACGTAAAATACAAGTACAAAAAATCATATGTTAATCCAATCGGAGGTTTCTGCACAACTTAATGTAATTGATCAGAAGAAGAACTATAAAAAATATTGACTGTTGATAAAGTGAGACACGAAATCAGATGATGGTGGATTAATTTCAGATAAACTGTCATCGATAATTATAATTATATAACTTGCACTATACTTAACAATTTACTTTGCAAGTATGGCGTGCTTAATATTATTTTGGGGATGATGAGATTTTGGGGCGGGTGCGTGCCTAAAAGCCATCGTCGCCGCCCTAATTACAATTTTCTTTTTTTCTTTATTTATTTACTTACTTTTGTTTTCCCACCCCATGAGGCGCGTGCATAAATCTCACGCCCGGAATGACGGAGGCGGCGGGTGGTCTGCGTTTTGCCACCGAAAACGTGTACGATTTTTTTTTGGCACCCATGTATGTTTGGGTGTGTGTATATATATATATACAAGCATTAAAAGCGCGACGTATGTTGGTTTTCTCTCTTTCGCTCCCTATTTTTTTTATTTATTACACCCGCCCTTATCTCAAACAGGAAAACTATAAATTCTTAGCCGGGATTTGCATTTGAATCCTTTAATAATGACTTTTCACGCGCCCCGTTTTAACGCTCTTTTTATATCGTCCCGCACTTCGCACGACTCCTGAAAAAAGCAAATAAACACGACCCCTGAAACGTTGTGATTTGAACAATTTGAACCTATTACGAATCAAAGAATTACATATATTAGCGTGAAGCTAAGGGTAAACAACTAATTGTAGCAACGCGCGAATACTTTTATGTAATCACCAGTAACTGAATGGCTTCATCTCTTTCGAAGATTGTTAACGTTTCGAACGAAGGAAAACTTGAAAATCTAATATCTATGAATTTGTTGATGCTCTCTCTAAATCTCCCGTTCTTTGTCTCTCTTTGCAGGAAATAGCAGCAATCCTGATAAGCTTCGATCGTCACGCAGAATGGCAGAGCAAGGAAGTGAAGATCAGGTGAGTGCGACTCTTCTTTTCCTTTTTGTTTGTGTTTTTTTTTTGTCCTTTTTGCACCCCGTTGTAGAATTAACGTGTTGCAATTAATTCCGTCCCCTTTTGCGATTCAAATCGTAATTACAACTTGATCGCAATTAAAATCCGTGTCTGCGCTATCCTCTCCATCCGAGGATCAGTCGAAAACTTTAACGCTTGCATCGGCAAAATAATCCGTCCCCTCCTTCGCTCTACCAGTGTGTGTGTGGGTGTGAGCATGGATGCATGCGATCGTGCTTACATGCACACACACACATACATATATACGTAAGCCCGTTTTCGGGAGCTCGAGAGAAAGGGAGATTGATGCCGCCTGAGGGGATGAAGAGGCGTCGCGACGCCAGCCCTTTAATCACTCTTCCGTCTCCGCTCTCGCTCGCTCGGCCCGGGCCCAGGCCTCCAGGATTGCAACATAATTTAGTGCCATCTTTTGTAGCCCGACGCTAATTTTAGTGCCCCAATTAAAATCCTTCCTGCCGCCTGATTTATTAACGCCTTTTACCAACTATTAAATCCGGAACACTTCTCCCTTCTTCTTCTCACCGGCGCACAAATGCAGAATTTACCATTTTCAATCCAGCATTTCTGAACCGAAATCCAATCAACGCTTCTGCAACGAAATTATATACCATATTTTTCGATAATACGTACAACTAATGGTGGATTATCCATTAAAGCAGTTTTTGGGAAGTAAGACATTTTCCTATAGTATTTAATATAGATGACTTTAGTTAGTATTTTGGGGGGGGGAGACAAATAATTTGTCTAGGTGCCCCAGCTATTCTTAATCCACCATTGCGTATAACTAAATTACAATTATCCTTACGAACGTACAATTACGTCAGGATATTCTTTTTGCTTTATTATAATAACTCGTTTTAGATTTTAAATTAAGTAAGATTACGGTTGAACTGAAAATAGTAAGAACATGAAAAATGTATATTTTTTTTGTACGTTCGTGAGAATGAAGAGTACCGTCCAATTAACGTAAAAATAAGTAAAATTACTATTTGACTGAAATAAAATTGAATTATCATGTATTATTATTAAAAAAATAAATAATATTATGGTTTGAAAATTGTACTTTTGGTATATTCGTGCGAACAAAGAGACAAAGTTATAAAAATCGTAGTGTTGTATTCAATGTATAATGTACATTATGTACACGAAAATATTGTTAACAATTGATGTTCGAGAATGAATGAATGGATGAAAATACAAGCAAAATTAATTAAATGAATGTATGTACGAGAAAGTTTACACAGTCATGAACTAATTAACGAAATTAATTACATATAACTCAATTATAATTAGAGCAAAATAGTGAACAATGAAATTTGATTTATTTTTCATACAGTCAGCGCTCAATGAATATACATACTTTTAACGTACATCGACAAACCATTATGAATGAACTAATCTACAAATATCCGTGTGAACGTACGTAGTTTAATTTTATATTCAAGAAAAAAAAAGTTATGAAAAACTGTGCTTAATCTGAAGACAAAGTGTACATTCGTTTGAACATTGAGTTCGTTCATGCGAACGACTTTGATATATATGAATTGATCATTAGATTAACGAACATTCACTTAAAGAACGACAATTTGTGTACGTTAAATGAGAGCTAACGTTATAAGTATTTCATGAGCAATATGCAAATTGGCACCCTCACCGAAATTACAATCAATTTGTATGAAACGGTTAACCGCTCCGATAAAGATGATCTTATTAACCGGACGTAATGGGAACTTGATGGGTCGCAAAAATTAACGATTCCATTTCCATCCGACCCTTGTATTTCCTGTCCCTTTTTTTTATCTTTCTCCTCCTTCTCTCCTTTAATCTCGAGAAGAGAGGAAAGGCTTGAAGATGGCAAGGTGATATCGATCAGGGTAATAACAATAAAAAATTGTGTGTGTGGGTGGTTGTGGATGGCGGAGTCGGATGCGGAGGCGGCGGTGCCTAATAAGCCGAAGCGTGCAGGCATCGATCCGGGGGCCCTGTAAAGCGCGCATTTTATGAACACATTCACGCCGGGGTCCCGCAATTTCCATTAGGCCATATCATCATACCATCCTCGAGTGCTTTAATTGAATAATCAAACCTATCTCTTCTTGCTCTCGCTCTTCCCACCGTCATCCCATCCCATCGCATCCTATCCCATCAACACAGTGCGCATTTCGACGTCTTTAAACCGGAATTGCCTAGGCAGCAAAGCCCCTCTCCCTCCCACAGCGCTCCGACTCCACCGCTCGTTCGTTCAGCTAACATTCAGCTTCTCTCGAAACTGGATACTTGTTGATGCATTTCAGTTTTCTTTTGTCCTCCCCTTTAAGTAATTAATCCTTTTTCTACTGTAACCATCATCAAGTCTTCAAACAATACACTTTCCATACGTTTTGACCCTTGAAAACAATTTTATTACTTTATTTGTTTTCTTGTTATTTTTTATTCTGATTGTAACTCATTTCCTCTAATGAAAACGCTTGTATTATTTAAATTAAATAAATACGAGATCTTCCTTTTTTAAAAGTAATATTTTTTAATTAATACATATCAAATTTTGTGGAGATGAACTCGTTAAAGTTATTATATAAATTAAACTAATGGATGATTTTTCTAATATTATATAATAAATACATAAATAGAATAAGCTTCAAATGATCAGTAAAACCAAATACACAAGTCAATAGATATTAATTAATATAAATATGGTCAGAATATGATTGACGTATTTTTATGAAATGTGTTTGAATGTGGAAGTAATTCAATTATTGTTTCGTTTTAGGCCGAAAAGTGGTTCGATGCTGCTGTACAGCAGAAAGAAGGTGCGATACCGCAGGGACGGTTATTGCTGGAAGAAGAGGAAGGATGGCAAAACGACGAGGGAAGATCACATGAAGTTGAAAGTCCAGGGAACCGAGGTTCGTCTTTACTTATTTACACTTAGTTACTTCTCCCTGTGTGTTGTTTTCTCCATTTCCGTTGAGTTGTAACCGATGCTTTTCGATGTTCCCAACCTATTCCGGATTCCTTCCCGCTGAAAACTTGAATGAAAGTTTAAAGGAATTGTATGAATATTTGAAGAGCGTTCCTCTCTAAACGCATAGTAGCACAGCATAGTGCATCGAACCGACTTTCTCATCATCTTTCTTGTTTTGTGCAGTGTATCTACGGGTGCTATGTGCATTCGGCGATTTTGCCGACCTTCCACCGAAGATGCTATTGGCTTCTTCAGGTAAGCTCAATCATGAACACATGCGGGTCTTCGCTCTCCCGCACCGTGTCGTACAGTAATCCAATTTCAGCCATTCTGATAATCTTCTTTGTAATATTCTTGATTCACGAACGCGCCCATCCAGAATCCGGATATCGTTCTTGTTCACTACCTAAACGTGCCGTATCCGGACGACAACAAATTGGCAGTGATTACTCCCAATCTTGCATTATGGGCGGACAAGAAGGAATGGACGAAGGACGAGCTTGTGTCACAGCTGAAGCCGATGTTCTTCAGCGAGGACGAACCGGATTTGAATGGGGAATTAGAAATTTCCGTTAACGACAACGGAGGAGGAGGCGGCGCGGATAATCCGAAGTTTCGCATGAAGAAGAACTTTAAATTGCAGACCGCCGAAACGGTGGAGGCCATCGTCAGTCAGCTGATGGAGAAGCAGAGAGTGGCGAGGCAGGCGGCCCTCGTCAAGCAGTTGGAGTGCGGATGTCCGGACAGCACCTGTGCTGACGGAAAGACATGCTCGCATCCCATGAGGAGGATCACGGCAGCCGCAGCTGCAGCAGCCGCCGCCGCCAACAATTCGAGCTTGACCTCGTCCACGTCGTCGGCATCGTCGAGGCCTCCAAGCCGTGCCGACAATAACAACCAGGTGTGTGCACCGGGAGTTCGCAAATCCTGGAACAATAACATCGCACTTGGCCGTACGAAAACGGGAATACTCGAATTGATGGTTAATGAAACGTTGCAGGTGTCATCGACGACGGGCGCCGGGTCCATGCTGCTGTCCGCAGGCCACGCTCCGCGCGTCTACTCCAGGGACTCCCGCAACCACGTGCAGAGCAGATGCTCCTCCAGCTCCGGCGCCACTCCTCCCCTGGTCCTGAGCTTGAGCCAGATCCAAGGCGGCGGCGGTCTCATCATCCTGAACAGCAGCAACACCACATCTTCCAACAATCCTTCCACGCACCAATCCATAGTCACTCCGGTATCCGTGGCCAGCTTCGTGTGCAACACGAACGCACGGAAGCAAGAACTGAAGAACGGCTCGCTGATCTTCAAGCAGGAGGCTATGGATACATGCCAGGCGCCGATCGTGCAGAACGGCAAGAGCCAAATCAAAATCGAAAACCACAGACAATCAACAACCATCTTCGATTACCGCCAGCAGCAGCAACAGCAGCATCAACAGCAGCAGCAACAACAACAGCAACAGCAGCAACAACATCAAACTGAGATAGTGATGTCAAGCGCGCCGTCGACGCCGTCCAAACAGATGGACACGAGCCATGACGAGATGATCGATCACCAGAACTTCGAGGAAACAGTTGTCCTGCTGTCGGCGCCGGACGCAAATCGAAACATTAAAGCGGATCTTAATTTCTTCAACGAAACATTGGACTTATCGCAGGAAGACATTCAGAGGACGTTGTCCGCGAACATGCCGATCTGTTCGGATCAAAACCAAGAACAGAATCATCAAAATAATGTTGCTATCGAGAAGCAACCGATACAGTCGCACGAGATCAATCCGATGGACTTCATCGACAACGTGGTGTCGCCCACGCACGTCGTAGACGACGACGTTTTCGTTAATTTAGACGCGTTCGATATGCTCGGCGAGTTCCCCGACCTCGAGGTCCTGGACGCCGGCAACCCCAACGGGCTGCTGGACGTCAATCATCCGTCCGATGGGACGACGTCGCGCATCATCGAAAAGAGCGTCGACCATCACCATCATCATCAACAACAGCAGCAGCATCAGCACGAGCAGATCGAAGGGCAAGTTACAACGCAGCAGCAGCAAGGTCAGGCCAAAATCACGGACTACTCTCCCGAGTGGGCGTACCCTGAGGGCGGCGTCAAAGTCTTGGTCACCGGACCCTGGCATTCGGCCGGACCCTACACTGTCCTTTTCGACACATTCCCCGTTCCAACCACGCTCGTTCAAAGCGGGGTTCTTCGCTGTCACTGCCCAGGTAAAAACAAATATACTCATCGTATACATAAGATACTGATTGTATAAATTTGAATTGCAGCTCATGAAGCCGGATTTGCGACGCTGCAGGTGGCATGCGACGGTTTCGTTATATCAAATTCTGTGATATTTGAGTACAAGTTACCACCTAAGGAGGAGCAGCTCTATGCTCCGGAGCCTAAAATAGAACGTTCTACTGATAATTTACTTAAGTTTACGCTCCTGCAGCGGCTGGAGGCGATGGACGATCGACTGCAGATCAAGCAGGAGCCGCTGGATGGTTCAGATTTGGTACAGAACTACTACAATTGACATTATGCGATGCAGTTCACTTACTTTTAATTTACGTTGTATACAGGTGGAGGATACAGCGCTGTTCACCCAACCGAACTTCGAGGATCGCCTGGTCAATTACTGCCAGACTATGACTTCGCGTCTGTGGCGACACGGTGAAGAGCTGAGCGTATCTTGGTTTGCAAGCCACAAGGGGATGACTCTTCTCCATCTGGCCGCATCCCTCGGCTATTCGCGGCTCGTATGTGCCATGCTTCATTGGCGGGCAGAGAACTCTTCGCTCCTATTAGAAACGGAGGTCGATGCGCTGAGTCAGGACGAGGACGGATTCACACCACTGGTATGATATTAACAATTCTTTAAACAAGTTATTCTTAATATTAAAGCAAATTACCAACTAAATTCAAGTCAGCCGCTTTATAAACATTTAAAATAAACAAATACTTTATTAATGTATAGTTTACATTGCTTATGGAACGATTTTTGAACGTAGATGTGGGCGTGCGCTCGTGGTCATACTGAGACGGCGGTCATGCTGTACCGCTGGAACCACACGGCGTTGAACATCCGCAACAACAGTGATCAAAGTGCCATGGAGTGTGCGAAAGCCAACAGCCACCTGGATCTAGCGAAAGAGCTGGAGAAGCTAGAGGTGCGACGCGATAAGGCCAACATGCTTCTGCAATCGCAGAACGATGCGGCTACAGTGGTCTCTCCGAGCGCCGTATCTCCGGCCGGCTCCATCGCATCCCTATCTTCGTCAGCCTCCGCCTCCACCAAATCGCATGATGGCGTTTTCCTCCGACCCGGTGTTGTTACCAGGAGCGAATCGCAAAAATACAAGATGCTCAACCTGGACCTGGAATCGTTCACTTCAGACAGTGCTCCACCCCACATTATAGGTTCAAACAAGATGCTCAGCTCACCAAATCCTCTCCTGTCCGAAAGCAATATCTTGCATCAGCGTAATCAAAGATTTAGTAAGAGGCCATCCGTCGATAGCGGCATCCACATGATGGGCCAATCCTCGGACAGCCTCACCTCTCTGCGATCCACGAAGACATTCAAAACCCGCGACAAAATATCCAGGTAATACTCGCTATTTTTTTTAACATACATAAATCCATCCGGCAAAAATCTCACATTCGCGCCACGCGAGAAATCCCAGCTTGAATTCCAGATTCGATCGCAGCATGTCTTTACCGTTGCACTCGCCGCAATCGAACAACTCCTGCGATAACGACAGCATCGACGGTTCGACCAGAAGAATGGATTTCGCACTGTGTAAGTACACTTAAATCTCTAGAACCCTGAAAAACAAACGAACAGAAAGAAAAATCTTTGATCCAAATTTCCCGTTCGATTTATTTAGTAGGTTGTTTATTTTGTTGTTTTTAATTATTATTTTGTTTCCCTTCTCATTTGTTGATTTTAATTTTACGAACAGGTAGGTTTCAGTTCGAGCTTCTCTTTTTGTTCTATCGAGAATCTCGATTTTATGAATGTTCAATGCCTGATTAATGACAGAAAAAAGTAAATAAATTAAGTTAATTAATGAAACAATATAAGCCCGATTCTACAAGGCTCATTATTTTGTCCTATGTTTTTGTCAATATATAAATACATCTTGCACAAGTAGATTTCAAATATATAGTGTATACAACAATGTTTGAAGACAACATTAATCCTCCAATCGCAGGCGATAATTTCATATTTTTAAAATAAATAAATATAATGTAAATGTACATAATGAATTAATGTACATTAATTTGTTAATTGCTCATACGAACGTACACTTTACCACCGATCGACATCATTTCGATATTTTAATTTTATTTATAAATAATTTCAAAATGTTTAAAGAACTAATTACAAATCACGCAGTTTTGGTAGACGTACGTAAATTAGTTACGGATGTAATTAAATACGCTTTACAATGTTTTAATATAAATGAAAATTCCTAAATGTGGAAATAAAATTTTTCAATGACTTTTCATACCCTACAAATTCAATGCGCTCATGAAATTGTTCAAAATAAATAGAATGGAATGTGGTTGGAGGATTAAGGTAGAAATTCCGGCAGGCATACTGACTAAAAAAGGGCTTTTTTGAAATGCTTTTATGAAAAGAGAAAAAATAAGTTTTATAAAAACTTATGCGAAAAGTATTTATTTTGGATTCGATAGAAAGCAACATATTTTTCGGTCGTTACCGTTATTATTGTTATTATGTAGATTTTTCAGTTGAACATTCTTCATCAAAAAGTTAAATTACCATCATCACCATTTCTTTATATTTTTAAGTTCTTTTATATATTGTTGATGTGTTTTATTTCTTATCTATGTTTGTTAACATACACTCAATCAAAAAAAGAAAACTTAAAATACTACCCCACAAACCCAACCCCCCTTTTTTTGATTGATTCATTATTACTATTTACCACCATTACTACTACTTATTATTATTGTTGTTGTTGTTGTCTCCGTCTGTTTTGGCCGTTTTGACTGATTACGATTTTTTTCTTTTTTTTTCATTTTTTGGACTTGAATTTACGAACGAACGAACGTACGAACGCAAAAACAAAAACACAAACTGTAGGTGAAGTTAGTAGTGTCCCGAGAAGCGGTAGCCCCTTGATAGACGTCGAGGCAGTCTCAGACGATGACTCAGACACCCGCAACAGTGTTGTAGGTCAGTTAGAACCAGAGCTAACACAACCTGAGTAATAACATAACAAAACAACCAAAAAATAAGTAATAATAAAATGCCAAACAAACAAACCAAAAGTTAATTGAAATCCGAGTTGAGAGAATAAGTGAGAGAGAGGGCGAAGATGGTGTACGCGACGATGAAGGCGGACAAAGAAAATTGCGTGTGGATTGTTTGTTGAGAAACGGAGTAACCAGAAAAGAAATAATCCGTTCGTGTCTATCTATCGATGTTGTGTCTATCACTGTTTTAAGTTTCCGTTATCTTCTTTATTTCTTTGAATCAAGTTTTTGGCTTCTTGGTGTTCTAGAATAGAAATATATATATATTAATCTAATCTATCTAATCCTCCCCCCGATTATATTACAATAATTGATTAATTATTCATCTTGAGTTTATTTTCTGTTTTTTTTTTCATTTATTTTCTTTTCAATTATGTGTATTAACCAAAAAAAAATATAAACTACTCTTCACATTGCTTGCCTCTTACTTGCATTTTGCGTGCTTTCCACTGCATGTGTGTTGTTCGTTCTCTTCTATATAAACCAGAAAGATTAAATATATATTCGTACCTTAGCTGAAATGTCGTATTTTGTATACTAATAACTTTTGTTTGGCCAGTGCTGTAATATCTCTAATATCTATTTACTTTTCCTTTCGCTCATCGTTATTTGCGAATAATGAACTACAACTACAACAGGGGAGCAAGATGTGCGCGTTCTCACGCTAGCTGAACAGATCATAGCTGCAATTCCTGATCGGATCAAGGTAATCCAATCCACGTAATACTAATGTACGAATTGTACTGATCTACTATATTTGCTTATCTGAAGAACGAGAGCGAAGAGATGATGCTGGATGGCAGTCCCGGACCGCCGGACGCTCTTCAATCCAGCGATGCTTTATCGGATGTTTTCATGGAACCGCTGTTGGATCAGTCCTCTTCCAGCTACGAGTCCAACGAATTTAATTTCGAATTCTCCGATCACAATTACAGGTGAAAATATTTCGAATTTAACATAAAAAATGTCTTTTACTAATTGATGTATTCAGGTATTACGATGTTGGAACACCATGTTCTAGCCTCAGTCCGGCATCTTCGAGTTGCCTGCAATCCCCGTGCTCTTTCACGCTGGATTCGCCTTCGCCACCCCCGACGACCGCCGATTTCTGCGAGTTCTTCCAGGCGTCCGGCACCGTCTTCGAGAAGGACTTTTCAAACTTGACTCTCTCAGGTGATACCTCCTCGCCATCAGTTTTATGTTGTTACAGTGTTACTTATGTTTTTTTTTATTTCAGATCGCGAACAGAGAGAGCTGTACGAGGCTGCGATGATCATCCAGAAAGCGTACAGGTCGTACAAGGGGCGGCAGCAACAGGAGGCGGATAAGGAGAGGGCGGCTGCGGTTCTTATCCAGAACTACTATCGCAGATACAAGCAGTACGCCTACTACAAGCAGATGACGCACGCGGCCATGGTCATCCAGAACGGCTTCAGGTCTTACTGCGAACATAAGCGGTTTAAGAAGAGCCAAGAGGCTGCAGTGTGCATCCAGAACTATTACCGTAACTACAAGGAGCAGGGGGGAAAGGGGAGCAGGGACGGTGGCGGCGGAGGTGTTGCTGGTGGCAGCACCCCGACGACTGCGGGGCTCAAGTAAGTCGCCACTCCCGGAAAGGGGGCGAGAAGCCGCGGTCCTGCAAACGCGCACCAACCGCACTTCACCAAGGAGTGAAAGCAGGAATTGGTTCGCGATTGTCGGACCGCGCTGCGCCCTCCACCAGCCGCCCCCTTTCCGTGTCAGCCGATGGTGATGTCTTTTGTCTTGAGATGATCCGTGTGTGTTGTTTGTTTTGTTTTTGTTCTGTTGGAAACAAAAGTAATTCATGTATTGATGTGATACAATTGCACTTTGCCCTGCCTGCTTCTGTGTAGCTGCTGCCTTCTTAAGTGTGGTAGTTCTTGATGTATACCCCATGTTGTATTAACTAACCAAAAAAAAACAAAGTCAGCAAAAGAACCCTTTTTACTCTCTCTTAAATTCTTCTTATGGTGGTTTTTTTTACAGTTCGCGCGGAGCCTCAAAAAAAAACTTAATAACAAAATCAATTATATTAATTAATAAATTTTGAGTCTCCGTTGCAATTTGGAAGTTTTTTACTTTTCTCTCTCCTTATTTCTAACTGTGTGTTTTTCTTTACTCTATGTGTTTTCGTTTCTCTTCTTTCCGATTGAACCCATAAGTGTAGATCGTAGATCGTAAATGTGTCTTTTTTCTGTTTTTCTTTGCAGCCACGGCAAAGATAGAAAATTCTACACTTATTGTTCAATGTGAGTGTCGTTTCTTTACTTCTCTTTTCTCTTTCTGTACATATATATACTACTTTTTATTTCTTACTCCTTTTGGTGGTCGCAAACTTCTTGCATCTGACGAACTTTCTATAATTCCCATTCGGATCTGTTCTAGAAGGACCTATTCTCAACGAAGACAACACCAAGCGGCACGAAAGATACAACAGTTCATGCGTCAATCTAAAAACAAGTAAGTCATAATTTGGTAAAAGACATTGTCATAGTGATTTTTTAACTATTTTCCAAATTAATTATAAACAAATAAATAAAGTACCGTTAATGGAAAGAGTACAAAAAAATATATGATAATCTAAAAACAGATAATACATGAATAAATAAATAAATGAATTATAGTTAATGGAAAAGGGTTAAATATAGAATTGTATGTATGATTGAGTGAGTGAGTGACTGAAGGGATCGCCCTATTTTTTGTTGACTAATCATTCTGTTGTAATCGCTAAAGCATTTGGGATGAAACTATGGGAACCGTGGTGAGTTCAAGTCTCGGTTTCTAACAAACTTATTTATTATTAGTATTACCTTTCAATTTCGTTCTTAATTAGTCTAAAAACCAATATGAAACGTTTGTATAATTTAGGTTGCAGAGAGAACGAGCAGAAAAAGAGAAGCTGGAGGACCGGTCAGTGGATGTCCTCCAAAGGTCAGCGTATCGCGTGGTCAATTCCACCATCGTCCCAAATAGCAGGTAAACTTAAAAAAAAGACAAAAATTCATCAAGTTAAATCCTATTAAATTTGTGTTGCAGATGCGAGAATTCTGAAAGAAACTGAAGCTGACGACTCAACCAAATGAATCAAATATTAACAGTACTTAAGATAGGGTGGAAAAAATAACAACATACACTCATCACACAACAACATCAACAAAACAACACTTTAAAGCAAACACACAAGACGACTTGATTTTCTAAAAAAAAATAGGAAAAACAAAACAATAAACCTCCGAGGAGTTAAGGGATTAGTTTTGTAGTATTAGAAAAAAAAGAAGAAATATTTTTCTTAAGAGCACTGAAAATTTGATCACCCTTTGACAATCAAATACCGATGAAGAGGAGAACAGCAATTAAAAAAAAAGCAAACCAATCGAAAAATTTACATACACTGAAAATAATGACAAGTGCGAAATGTATTATATTATAGAATTGTACACACACACATATAATAATATTAGAGAAGAAAGGGTTCTTTGAATTTTTAGTCGCGCGAAATTCCATAGTTCGTTATAATAAACTACTTACTTCCGGTTATTTTGTCCTCCGCCGAGAGGTCGTTGCTCTCTCTCTATCTCTGTTACATTACACAACAAAAAAAAATGAAATAAATATATATATATTATATAATATAAGTATGGAAAAAAAAAATAAAATAATATATAAATTATATTATGAAAAAGTAATAATATATTCTTGTATTTTTAACGACGTCTATTTTGGCTGTAAATTTTAGGGGGCAGAACGAACGACGTTCGTAAATTGTAAGCATTTAACACGTCCCCTTCTGCAAAACGAGGAACGCGTTTGAAGTTTATTATATATATATAAATGAAGAAAAAAATGATTACCGCAATTCTAATGATAATGGAGAACTATATAATTATGTAATTAAATAAACAAATGGATCGACAACAAAAGTGAGACGTTTAGACATTGTGTACACACGAAATATATATATATATAAAAATGTAAAAATATATATATATAACGAGAAACACTACATGGATTTTTTTTCTTGGTTAATTATTAATATTATATAATATTATATAATTTAACCGAAACATGTAATAATTGCATTGAAGCAAAAGAAAAGCAAAAAAAAAAAAACGATAATCTTAACAAATATGTAAACTAAAAAATCGTAATTTTTAAGGGAAGGATTCAGTGCTGTGATTTCCTTTGATGCTACTAAACTATTCATAACTTATTTAATATATCTAAATAGTCGATTATCAAAAAAAAAAACACTTGTCCCAAGCTCTCGTATAAACATAATTTAATTTTATTGTCTGTCTTCTTTTGAAAATCACAAAAAAATAAAACTAATCTGCCTCTATCTTATTTATTGGTCGTCTATGCGAATCAAATTGCAATTATTTTTTCTGTAATTGGTTGGGATATTAAATACTTTAATGAATAATTTTACGCATCAAATCAATTAAAAAAAAACGTGTGATTCTACCGTTAATTTCGACTTTGATTTTCCTTTCGTAACATAGTTAGTACCGTAGTTGAAGAACTAGTCTATATATACTTAATTATATATATATAACTAAAAAAATATATAGGCGAATACAAATTAGTTTAATGAGGACGAAGAAGAGGATAAAAATCAACGTTGTACTTAATATTTAAAAATATATATATATTATACTATACTATTATATACTTAAACTATTCTTCTTTACTTTTAAGTTTCAAGTTTTGATGGGGTAGATCTTAGTCACTATTGTACTAATTATATTATACATTATATGAGAACTTTTAAGACAAACTTTTCTCTTTTAGACGACTTACTTAACAAATGTACTATATACTACACATTATTTAAACCTATTGATGATAAAGAAAAGGTCGGAAATCAAAGAAAAACGGAAAGGAAATTAATTTACTGCAATTACATTTGAAATTCGATTTTCGTTTTTTTTTAATCCAAATTTATATCTAACAAAACATATATTTTTATAAATTCCAAAACGAAAACCGAAATTGATTCACAAAATTCTCCAATTCGAGACCCAAGTCCAGAAAAGAAGAACACCAAAAAATGATAGTAGTCTTTTTTATGTGTTAATTTCACGAAGATTTTTTTTTTGTACATACTTTCTTATTATTGTTGTAACAAACGATTTGGGAAAAGAAAAGGAGAATGATTTGTTTGTTTTTATTTTTAATTAATTTGTTTGAAAAGCGATAAAGCAACGTGTATTATGTGTACATAAATAAAAATTTGAATGATAGAACGACAAAATTGCAGAATAAAATAAGATAAGTTTCGAAAAGTAATCTACTAAAATGTAAGGAGAAACGATTGTTTTTTGCATCCATTCTTTTCGTTATGTATTTTCACTGCCATTCGTAGTCTAGCTTCTCTTTCTATGACATTAAAGAACAACAACAAAAATTATAAACATATATAAATATTTTTCAATAAATTAATGGAAATCTAAACCTCTTTCTCTCTAAATAAAAACAAAAAAAAATCTATTAGCAATAATTTCTTATCATTACTATAAATGAAAAATGAAAAAACTAACAAACAAGAAAAAAAAACGTTTGATTTACGATTTCTAATCAATAATTGTGTAAGTAATAATCTTAATGTATTTAAACAAAAAAAAAATTAAAGATAAATCCAATTCCATCCAATGAATAATGAAAAGTGAAATGAGTCGTTTCTCGTCGATATTATATTTTGATTAATTGATTGATTGAATGAATAAAAAAAAAACCAGAGTAAATACGAAGATTAATAAATATTTTTTTCTCTTGAAAGATTAGTTTGAAAAGATTTTAAGGATGAAGCAAGAAAAAAGAAGTTTTTTGGAATAGTTCTGCTCATACATATCATAACTAGCTGAAGAAACAGTAATAATAATAATGATACGCTGTAAAGTATAAGTAATTGATAAGTATATACTGTTTAAGGATAAGTTTTAAAAAGATGAAAAGAAAAATGAAAACCTGCTGTACAATGAGATTCGAGTGTGCAATAAAACAAATGAATATAAAAAAAATAAAACAATAACCAAATACTTTACGTTTCATTCATTTAGTTGGTGCTCAAAAAAAGAAATAAGTAAAAATTAAAAAAAAAACAAACATAAATAGTGAATAGAGAAATATATAATGATATAATAAACAAATAATTTGAAGAACACGCGAGAAGAATTATATATATATATAAAATGTAATATAAAATGTAATATTTTTCGAGTCAATTAGGGCCGGAAAGTTAACGAAAAATAAAAGAAATGGTATTTCTCTCAGAACGTTATTTTTCTTGTTTTCGCGCAAAACGAAGAAACGAAAAACAAACAAAAAAAGGTTTAAATATGTAAACTTTGTACCTGGTGGGCAGGTTAAAATTTAAGCGTGAGCCGAAACCGAGTCGAAAATATAGGAAGAAGAGAAAGAAAAACGACGAAAAAAAAACAAAATAAGTTAACGAAAACAATTACATATTATTTTTTTAATGGCATGATGATTATTGTAATTTAAATAAAAAAAAAGAAACTGTGATTTATTAAGACAAGTCTTCCTTTCTATTACTTTCGTTCACTTTTGCGAAGAGAATCGCGCTTTCGTTTTTCTATGTTCGCTTGTAATAATTTTCGGCTCGGTGAAAAGGCGCGGGTGGTTGAAAACTGTGTAAATACTTGTTATTCGTTGAGAAATTTTATTCTACAATATTAATGAAAATTATATATATACACACATATATATATTATTATTATGATAAGTGAAGGAACGACGACAAAAAAAACTATGCGTACTAATTAATCGAGGAGGAGAAAAAAAAAAGTATTATGGTGTAATCGATATTTAGCGGAACTTTTTTTTTGCGAAATTCATAAACAATCAAACGTTTCTTAATCTTAATTTTGTACATAGATTATATTTTATATATATACACTGACACACACACATACACACGGAGACAAGAACGCACTGACATCCACACTTAATTACGTTTGGATACAATTTGCTGAACGCGCTGGATAATTATTGCGTAGGACGATGTAAGCGGCAATTAATTAATTTATTGATTAAGTTAAATTAACTTCGAATATACGGCGAATTGCGGGAGCGAAAGGAAAGCAGAAGATGAAAACACCAATATTAGTTTTGAAGAAGAAGGCAAATTATTATACATAAATATAAAAATATATCGAATTGTATATAAAGTATTAAGAATGGATGAAAAAGGAAATCAATATCTGGATATAGGCATTAAAAAAAAAGGATTATAAAAAAAATATATATAAATAAATAAATTATATTATATATATATATAAAAAAATTCAATTTAAATTTTATATTCTACATGAGACATGCATTACCTAACGATGTATTTGAATGGATAAATAAAAATATATTATTATATACTGTAGAGCGTAGGTGAAAATAAGGGGTACAACTAATACTGTTCATTGGAAAAACTGAAAGGAAAGAGAAATATAACAAATAAATCTTCCAACACTTGAACACTCTTTCTCACACGTACACAACACTATACACACGCCATGAAGAAGGAAAAACAAATCTCCTTTATATTTTAGTTTAGACGGCTTTCTTGCCCAAGCTCGAAGAGGAAATACATCCATTTATACTTTCATCATACACTACCGATTTCTTGTTTGTTCTGTTTTCATTATTTTTGTTTAATATATATGTATAAAAGAAAAGAAAAGGAAACCTTAGCTCTCTGCACCTACTCTTATTATTACTAAATACTAATTAATACGAAGGACGAAAGAAAACCTATTTGTAAGGAATCGATCATCTAGTCTTTGAATCTACTACTAGAAAATTGAGAAATACTAAGCAGCAGAAGAAGCAATAAAATAAGTGAAAAGATTTCGTTCTGGAATCCCTGCACTCTGTTATTATTAATTACGACTATCCATTCCACTCACATGGACTACGTTTTTGTTTTCCATTTTCAACTATGTAAATACCACTGTTTTTTTTTCTGTTTTAAGGGAATTTTATTGTATATTTATACCTTGTTTTGTTTAATTTTACTTTTAAAATTGTTTACTTTGTTCAAAAACTATTTGTTACCTGTTGAATGTTTATTACTTACTATTATTATTATTAATTGTTCTCCGCTCTTTACCTATCTCTCTCTCTCTCTATAAATCTATTTCTATCTATCTCTCAATCTTTTCTAGAGTGCAGAACCGTTGTTACATACTATATAAAGAACATATTATTATGTCTTTTCGACTAATAAACACTTTCCGAATTTCTTCCCAACTTTACTTTCTCTTTTTACACTGTTTATATTTATTTGTTTTTTACTTCTATCTGTCTCTCTCTATATTCACCACTCTCTTTCACACTTTTATCACCGCTCTTATTTCCTCTCCTCGTTCATACACACATACCGCGTGTAGTTTCTTCTTTTCAAATACATTGATTATAAATACATAAACTTGGTTTAGATTAATTAACTGTAATTTCAATTACTTGAATTGGTGGAAATATTTTGAAGAAGAAAAAAAATATGAAGAAGTATATAAATTTTATAAATTCTATATAATATATATGTCTTTAAATAAATTTTGATCAAAAGCGAAGATTTGTGAAGATTCGAAACGAAAAATATTAAAAAATAATAATAACTACAAAAGTATGTTGAATTTCATACCCATCGTTCCTTCCATCATCGTTACATCCTTTTCAACTCATCGAATCATCATTGAAGTAAAACATCAATTCGGATATTCATCGACTATATATTAAAAAATATAAATAATGTGTTTATATTTAATTTATTAAAATTACCTTTCCTGTAGTCTTCTAAAAATGTTCTACTTAATTCAAAATAGTAATAAAATTTACTGTGTTATTACATTCAGATCTCCAATCTCTAATTTGATATAGACGATTGTGTCTCTATTCTAGAAATCTGAGTTGGTTCCTTCCTTTAATGATTTCTATTCAAATAACTTGAATGAAGTGATCTATGCAACCATCAATAATTCTCACCCAACATATAAAGTTATATGTAAAAATAGACATAAAATTTCTGTTGATAAAAAAAAAACATACTATATTTCCACTATGTTTAAGACATGCAACTCACTGAAAAGCAAACGACCAGAATATTTGAATCTGAAACACATAATGCACATATTTACATATTATTCTCCATCACATTTATAATATCTCTCTAATATTAAATAATATAACTAAAATCATCATAAAAATACTCTTATCTAAAGATGAGGTGTTTCGGAAAATTTGGTTTGTCAATTGTTGGGACTGGAATTTTACTTCCTGGCTGAAAGGAGTTGAATGGAAATTTTTTTGAGTGCGATCCTGATTTTTTTTCAGTTATTTTGAGAAGGAACGAAAATCGTGAAGATTAGCACTGTGGTACTTGGTAGAAGTTTTAATAAGTTTGTTCAAGTTCTCCGTTCAAAATTTCTCCAGTTTTGTAAAGGAATGACCGGATGATTGTTTTGTAGGTGTAAAGGATTATTGTAGATATTTATTAAAATATATGTAATTGCTTTCTATTCTTATTTTATTAAAATATTTTAAAACTAAATTCAGGTACAAATTTTACTTTTCTTTAAATGTATAGCTTTTGTTTACTATATATACATACTACAACTTGCAGCAACATTTTGATTTGTGTCCTTGTGTATAAAATATGTACATATAAACATTAACTAGCTATTGACAAATGATTGTGTTGTAATTGAACTGTATATTGGGCCCTTCGATGGCGGAAGCTAGAAAAATAGTATGTTTAATTATAGTTGTTCAGTTGTTGGTGTTCAATATTAACCTGAGTTGTGGTGGATGAGAGATAGTTGCGAGACGAATTCTTAGATGGGTCCAAGAATACATCGGACATTGGCTAGAAGATAATGATTTTGGTAAAATTGTAGAAATAGCGTAGATATATAAATGGATAGATTACCTTATTAATTTCGGGGAAGATCGTGCTCAGATTGAAGTTTGTTAGGGAGGTTCCCACGGTATTCAGAGAAGGACTAATCTCTGGATGCTGTATGTTCGATCTGGAGACTTGAGTTGTAAGCGGTGGAAGCAAGGATCCACCCAGATCCGGTTGTTTGGCGACTTGATACAACGGGTTTTTACAAGAGTATAACTGGTTGTGGTTAGGTGGTAGGAAGTTGGCATGGAAGTCGTCTGGTAAGATAGGAGAATTGATGGAACCCTGCATGGGTAGGAAACTGAAGTCCACAAAACTGTTAGTCTCTGGGACAGGTTTCTTCCTGCTGACTGAGGCTGCCGACTTTCTGGGATTTAGGAATAGTTTGTTGTTGCTCTTACTAGTGGTGTTGGTTGATGTCTGTCTATGCTGTTGTTTGCTGTCCGATATTGGTTTGGAGAAAATGTTTTCCGGTATGAAATCAGAGGTCGGTGGCGGAGGTGGTGGAATATCCGGCATGAAGTTTGAGGTGGATAAATAAGCCGTGGAATTGGGTATGAATGAGCCGGAATACGAGTTTGATGGAAACGAGTTCTGGTAGTTGTCGTTACCGAAGTTATTTTCTGCCGGAAAATAGGATATGTCCGTCAAAAACGGTACAGGCAACGCGGAAGTCTTAGCAACGTAAGAGTTCTGTTTGTTCTGGCCAATCAACGCTTCCGCTGAGTAACTGCTAGAAGGCGGAGGCGGAGCAGGCACGCTTTTCAAACGCTTTGCCTCGGGCAACCAATCAGGAATGTCAAAGTGCAGATTACTAGCCTTAGCTTTATCCGATCTGTTTGAGCGCTTCTTGGGGTTCTTACCGCGACTTCCGCTGTGTCTGCGCGCCGTCACACGCGATGCTTCCGGTTTATTATGATTCACTAGTTCACTTACGGATAAGAAATTGGCGACGTTATCGTAGCTCACTTGCTTCCGCTCCTTCTGCTTAGGTTTGCTCTTATCTAGATATGTGTTACCTAGGGCAAGATCACCCACTAATGTTGGCAGAGTGGTAGAGACAAAACCGTGTTGCGGGTCCATGAGCTGCGGCAATTTCGTCGGTGACCATGCAAACTGGTGATCCTGCTGCTCCTGGTGAGTTTTCGGTTGATCCGTGTAATCAACGCTCTGGTAGAGAGGAACAGTTGCCGTACCATTGAAGTATGTTGTTTGAGGATTCTGCGAATATCCAGCGACAAACTCGGTATCCTTTGCAAAAGGAATAAAATCTGTCTGCTGTTGTGGCTGAGGTTGTTGCTGTTGCTGTGGTTGCTGCTGTTGATGATGTAGCTGGTTGTGATTCTGTTGGTGGTTATGATTCTGCTGGGGCTGCTGCAGGTGCTGCTTAACATCCGGAGTTGTCATCCAATTAACTGGCGGCTTAGGCGCTGCATAACACTGATTGTTCTCATAATAACACTTGTCCCCCTTTTTATAACCGAATTCGTTGTAACTGTAGTTGGTGCAATTGCTGTAGCCTTTATTTTGTTGGCTGTAGTTTGCTTTAGGAATATCGGTGAACGGGTTGAAGGTGTTGTACTCGGGAATGTTGTACGAGGAGTATTTGCCGCAAGAGACGGATGTCTTCTCTTTCGCTTTGCCACTTTCCGTATAGGTATTATTATCGGGATAGAAGACGGACTGCGCCTTGCTCTTCACTTCCAGCTGCGGTGCGGCCGTGTCGCTGATGGCATTATCGTATAAGATTTTGGCAGTTTTTGTTATCAAATCTTTTTGCATTTTATTGGCGGTCGGTGCCGGTGCGTGACTCAGATTGTCCAGGGTTTGGTAAAGATTCATTTCCTTACCAGTAAAGAACGAAAAGTTATCCAAATTCAGAAGATTGGGAGACGTAGTTTGCGTGGGCTTTGCCGTATCCATGGTACCTATCTGCAGGAGAGTCGGAGTACCATGCGGACTGTCGCTGGTTTCTTCCTCCATCACCTCGGAGACTTTGACGCCAGTAAAGGAAGAGACTAAAGGGAATGCGTTCAAGAAAGCGGCTGTTGGCGAAGTCGACTCAGGATTTTGACTGCCCGATGGCACCTGCAGCGAAGCAAATATATCGTTTGACAATTCGGATATAGTTTCCGTAATTATCGGTTGTTTCTCCTCCGGAACTTTTTTCTCTTCTGTCTCGAGCTTCGGAGATGTTTCTGGTGAAGGTGGAGTTGGTTTCACAGGTGGAGGCGAAGATTCTGGTGGAAGTACAGGAGCAGGAGGAGTAGGAGATGGAAGTAATGGAGGAGGTGGCGTGGGCGGAGCCGGAGTAATCTCTTCTGCCTTTTCCTTCTCCTTGCAAATCGAATCAATGGTGTAATCAGTTTTTTTACCGTCCCTAACCCCCTGATCAACTTTATCGTCTCCTTTACTACTACTCCCGCCATCACCTTCAACCTTCTTATGCTCCTCAGGTTTTACACGCTTGATCCGCCTCTTCGTTGTCTTCACAAATCGTGGACTGCTGCTCGCGAGCAAGATGTAATTGCTAGCATATCTGGAAGCGGGTATAGGAACTTTGTTTACGTGCGTCGTCTTGGTAACAATTCTCTTGGGCATAAGCGCGGGCAACGTCTTCGAAGGACCCGAAGTCCCCTTGGTAACGCTGCTCTTTGGTGCTTCGTTCTTATTCACGACAATGACAGCGTTGCTAGGTCCCGCGTTTAAGATGATTGGTGCCGGATTCAAAATAGGAGCGGATTGTATGTTGTTGGTGAAGATGATGGTCCCGGATGGAAACGTTCCGCTTGTCGGCTTATTTATCACATTACTTGGCTTTGCTTGCGTCGATAATATTGGAGCCGTCACTAAATTAGTCACTGAGTAAAAAAAACTAATTATCAATAATTGCTCATAACTAAATATTTAAATTACCCGAGGTAGTTTCAGTCAATTTTCCCGCAACACTTGACGCTATGAAATAGCAGGGCTGAATGTTCGCTATGGTAACCACTTGTTTGGGTGGAACCTCCACAGCAACCTTCTTAACCTTAGGCTTTACCTTCTTTATAGTCATCTTCTTTGCAGGCTTCTTCACTTTGATTGTTTCCTTGGGCTCATTCTCCTCTACATAAGCAATACAATTATTAGTATAAACACAACTTAATTTAAATAAATCCAAAACCCACTCTGTGCCTCCAGCTTTGCCAAGAGCTCAGCCTTCTCCTGACTAATCTTCCCTGCCCACTTCTTTGGTTTACACATCTTGATGCTCCCGCACTCATTTGGTATAGTAATTCCAGCATCTCTCAACAAGTTGCTTAACTGTTCATTCCTTGAAAGCAGCTGCTTAACCCGCAGATAAAGTTGCTTCAATTCAACTTCTACAAATAAAACAATTAAAAAATACATAAATCAATATAGGATGAACTTACGTTCAGGTTTGTTGTCAGTGTCTGCAGTTAGTTGTTCTTTAACTTTTCCTTGCAGCTCCAATATGAACTTGGTTGCTTTGGCCAAAATCTCAATTTTGCTTAGATTTTTTGATGGATCATAACATGGTAACACCTTCACTAAACCAGCAAAGCTCTCATTCAGTCGATTTCTTCTGTCCTTTTCCCATTTGCGACATTTGCTATGAATGGAAAAAAGCAAACAAGTGTGGTTCATTTGTCATTGTGCATTTGTTTATTTACCTGGCTTCTCTGGGCATACTTGGATCTAACAAAAGTACTGGTGCTAGCTGGCATCGTAATATACAGCAGCTACCGAAGATTATACTTATGTCCTAATTATTTGTACACCTTATATCACTGATATATTAATTGTTAACGAAAAACAAACACTTCCATAGCACAAACAGGTTATCGAATTCAGCTGACAGTTTATGTTCCAAATTTATAGGCAACTTAATATACTCGTATCTTATATTAATAATGATACATAACTTAGGTTATGTAATTAACTCAAGTAAATTGTTAAATAACTGGGAAATAATTGTTGCTTTGCTAATAGCTTTAATAATAAATTATATAATTTACTAATAAAGGGTTATGCAAATGATTAAATATATAAATATTATCAATAATAACATAATTCACTCAATTTTCTACAAAACGAAAATTTAATATTACATAAATGGATTTTTAGAATTAGTTATAAATTCTTATATAATAATATTTATTAGACATTACTATATCATATTTGAAAGTCTTGGATTTGCACAGTATTGGAAACTTGACATTTAAACTTTTTTTTCAATAACATATAAATGATAAATATCTTCAATAACTTGGAAAATTGTAAATCAATGAACCATAAGGACTAATTAGATTTTCCATCATACTGTTCTTTTACATAACAAATGTAGCCTATATATGCAAACAATACGCTGATTAATACAAGCTTAATAAATATAGGATTTGTTAACACGTCTGGATATTCGTTAGATATTTTATAAATTTAAATTAAAAACCAAGATTCGATGACTGCGCCATCACAAACTACATATGTATCTTAATGCTTGATAAGCTTGATATCTGTAAGAATCATATGATTTCATCAACCTTGAATATTAAAATTGTTTGAGCAAACGGGACTCGCTGATGGATCAGTAGAGGTCGAGTGATCGGCTCGAGCGCATTCCTTTTACGATTTTTAACAACAATATGCGTCTTTGGGAAGCGATTTTTTTGCATCTAGTGGCGACAGCGGCCGCTGGAGATGCCCTTAAGATCTTGGGGATTTTCCCGTTCGCTTCGTACAGCCACTACTCGTTAGGAAGCAAACTGATGAGAGATCTGGCGGCGAGAAAT